ATGAATGGACATATCGAGGTAGTATCTCTGCTTCTTGGCATATATGCAAGTGCTGATCAGAAGCCTGAAAATGTGATTCCTGTTTGCACGAAGCAGTCGAAACACGTCGATATGCAAATGGCAAATGCGGAATTGGGAAAAAGTGCAAATATTGAAACACTTGATCAGCAAAACCAGACTCCTTTGATTATTGCAGCAAAATCGGCACAGCTTGGTATGGTTTCTCTGCTAATTAGCAAAGGAGCTAATATAGAAGCTGCTGACAATGAATCCTTAACAGCTGTACACTGGGCAGCTGTTAACGGTGACTCTGCCGTTTTGGAATTGCTATTGAAAAAGAAAGCAAGCATCGAAGCTATGACAAAACTTGGCAATACGGCTCTTCATCTTGCTGCAGAATTCAACCATCCCAACATTGTGGCTATGTTACTCACTTACGGAGCCAATATAAATGCTAAGAACAAATTTGAGAGTACACCAGTTCAAGTTGCTATAGTAAAATGTCACATTGGTATAATTTATCAACTGAAAAAGGCAGGCGCAAAATTAGAGAGTACAGAAGACATTGAGCTCTCGCTTTTACATCAAGCTGTAGACGATGGACAATCTGAGCTCATCAATGGAGTTTTAAATATGATGAGCAACACTGAAGAAAGAAAAAACTATATAAACAAATGTCTACTTAGAGCATCGCAGCGTGGACAACTTGATGTAGCGTCATACCTTTTGGGAATCGGAGCAGATATTGAAATACGCGATGCTGATGGTCTATCACCCCTCTTCTTAGCAGGTCAACATCCAGAAGTCATGTCCATGTTGATCCATCGTGGAGCTCACATAATGGCAAGGAGCAATACAGATCAGAATCACACCGCTCTCCATTATTTTGCATCTATCGGTCAAGTTCAAGCATTGAAGATTTTGTTGAACTGTGGTTTTGATATTCATTCGACTGACAGCAATCATAACACAGCTCTCCACTATGCTGCTAAAACTGATCAGTGTAATGTAATAACTCTATTGCTTGAGCAAGGACTTGATATTAATGTCAGGAACAATGAAGGTGAAACAGCTCTGCATGTTGCAACAGAAAAAGATTTCCTTGATCTAGCAAGTATGCTGATTGTCAATAGTATCGACATTGAAGCGAAGCTCATCAATACCGGATCAACAGCGCTCTGTATTGCGGTCCAAAACAACAACTTGAAATTAATCACGCTGATGTTGAGGCGATCTATTGATGTCAATTCAAAGAATATCGCCGGAGAAACCGCCTTACACTTGGCGGCTCAAAATGGTCTCCTGAGTGTATGCACTCTATTAATTGAACACGGTGCAAATGTTAATTCAGACGACAAGTCGCAAGCACCTCCTTTGTATAACGGAGTGGCATCTTTTGACCCCGATATAGTCCGTTTATTGCTAGATCATAATGCTTCCGTTGACGAACATGACTATTTTGACAATATAGTGTCATTTGCAATTGCTGAAGCCAATGATCGTGTTGGCTATTTGGACGAGCATAAATTTATCACAGTAATAAGGCTGCTCGTCAATGCAGGTGCTGATACTACTGAGATAACACTAAATGAAGAATCGAAGACGAGGTTCCCTATTTTACAAGACATTTTAAGCAGGTCGTCCGATCGGCCCCTTGATGTGGAAAGACAGCTTTTCAAGCGACCAAAAGTCATTTTAAATGAGGATATTGAAGCAAATAATCCAACAATCGATTCAACAGAGCATATACTGAGAAGGGATGGACATAAAATCGGTAATGAACATTCCAGTAAGTATCAACCAATCCACATGAGCCTCCGTTTGCTTATCATATTAAACTAACCTTATGTGAATTGTGTCTCAGGTGGTTTATGTGATGAGAGATGGTTAAACCACACTAAAAACAAGTACGGCTATGGCTTTCCACTTTCAAAAAGACATCAGTTGGATAACTTACTGGATATAAGTAAAAGAGATACCCAGAATATATCTGTAGGAATTGCCCCATATGTAAACTTGCAGAAGCTGTTTGAAACGAGATCTGCAAACAAACGTGCTATAGCAATAATGCAAACACTGTTCGACAGCTTTGACGCCAGCCTATTTATGTCGGACTATTTTTTCATATTGGAGTTAAACACATGTGTCGACACAGTACCTCCAAAATGGGCATCAGATTTTGATGTGATGAAAGGCATTATTCGAGAACCAGGTCGATTGATTGTGCAAATTCCTCCAAAGAACACTACTTTGTCCACAACAACATGGAAGCATGATACCCATCCATATCTTCGATTTATTGATGCTGTATATATATGCCGCAAAACATCTATTTACCCTGTTGAAGAGGCATTTGCAGATATACTTGGTGGCTCAGAGAAGACGCTAGCAGCCGATTTGCATGCCATATTTATAGCAGAACTCGGTATTCTTAGTATAGCCGGTGGAGATGAACTTGTTGAGAAGCTAGTAGCAGCAATCCTTGATGTCAAAGTGGAACCTACAGAAATCTCTTCGCAGAATGAAGCACCTGCAGGCTGGAAGATTCGTAATCGACGTCAGTGTCCTTGCAGCACAAAATCTATCCACCGTCCACTATCACCAATAGCTGCTGCAAAGGCTGTCGGCATAGACATCTGGGGTAATAGACGTGAACAAATCGTGAATCGAGTGTGGGATTTGCATCAAGATAAACTGGTGAACAATATCGACGCTAGAGAGGTCATATTTATCACACACAGATGGAATAAGATTGAAGTAAGTTATCAGCATACATTCAGCAAGAAATGGTGGATAGGTCAGACAATTAGTGGAATGTCAGACAAACTGCGCCGAATCAGGACGACTTTACGAAAGCATACACAGTATGTATGGATCGATACAATTTGCATAGACAAGTCAAATTTAGTAGAGCTGGATGAAGCCATTCGATCAATGTACAAGTGGTATGCTAGCTGTGCTGCTGTTTTGCTAGACTCAGGTACTCCTCTAGATGTATGGTGCAAGAGAGGATGGTGTTTGCAGGAAGGTGCTGCAGCTGGCCTTTTGTGTGGTATTTCAAAAGAAGGAACTCTGGTGACAATACAAGAATTAGCCAATGAGCAGAATCATAAGCTTTGTACTCTCGACCTTCACCTGTACTATCGAGAAGGAAATGCAGCTGAAATATTGGCAAGGATGGCGATTCGAGAGACGACGCGTGAAGAAGATATGGCTTATGCACTAGCAGGAATATTTTCCCTACACTTACCACTGGCGTATGGAGAAGGACTGGAATCTCGTGGACGACTACTGCATCAGCTAGCCATCAGTAAAGGCGATCTGTCATTCCTAAGTTTCCAGAACACTCAAGTGAAGTTTTCAAGCTACTTACCGGATATTTGTGAAGTGAAACATTCAATTGCAATCTGTAAAAGAGCTTCAGTACCGATCAACGTCAGTCATTTTGGTACATTGATTGAGGTCCAACTTATCAAAGAACAAGATGCAAAGAACGTGCTGCAAAAGCTGAAAAGTTGGAAGGATCTAAAATTTGCTAAAGGTAGATCCTTAGGAGTAGAAGAGCTGATAGAAGCAGTATACGGAGCGGAAAATTCCAACTCTTCATGGACGGACGTTGCCATCATACACGATATTAGATCCCTTATGTTAGTGAAAGCATACGACTTAGATTGGCAGACGGGAGGAGGGCAACCGATCAAACTCTGCTATCGGCTTCAGTGCTGCCAGATAGAGGAAAAGGAGTTCGAAAGATTGTTTGACGAGAATGATGCTGAATTTGAAAGAATTTGGCTAGGCGACAGAGCTGTTGGAGTTGGAAGTCTCAAAGCAAGCGGAATTCAGTTACAAAGGCGTCAGAGAGGAAAAAGAAATGAGCACATTGAAGAACAAGCTACTTCCGATTTGCAAATATAGAGGATGAATGAATGCTTATCTCTGTAGGCATAATAACATTGGTCGACATCGCCTTTGATAATGGCTATAGTTATCCATTGTGTTATAACAATAGGAACTGCACCTTGCTATTTTTTTCTTTTGGACCGTTTTTACCTTTGACAGATAAAAACTTTCTTGACAAAAAGAGTCCAGGCGAAAGTTATCCAGATTTTAGTATGATAGATAGCTCAATCAAAATATATTGGAGTGCACCAATGAGAAAGTAGTAAAATAAAAAATGAAAATATGGAGCATTTAGCACAAAATTTTAATTGAACGCTAATGATGATTAGAATATTTCTGGCATATCGGTGATGATCATCTGATGCCGTAAAATAACATCCAAACGAATGTTATAAAAACAACATATTTTACGTGCAATCGATTTTTTGAGATACATCACAGAATGATTTTCCACTATAACTAAAGAAAAAAATACATCAACAGTTTCTATTCATCCATTTTTATCACATTTAAAGCTTGACCAAAAGGTTTATTATAACACTCCTTTTGAGAATGACATACATAGAAGCACTACTATCTTGTTAGTATAGATGTGCCATCACAATAACATAAATTTTTGATATGAGAATGAAAATATGCGTTAAATTTCTATTTCAGGGAGTAGCGCTGGTTAGTAAATATAAGTAAATGTAGTCGATGTGTTAATCGAGTTAATTCATTATAAAACGATTAAAGCTAGAATTAGGTTTTTTATTTTCAATTGAAGATCACTTATACTCCATTCTAGGTCATTCAAAAACTAAGAACAGCCATGTAAATTGAAAATTTTGATGTAAATACATTTCGATGACTAAGATTATCCCATATAGGAGATTAACTGGACAACAATAATCATTGTTTTTTTCTTGATGGAGTAAAATCAAAATTTCCAATCAGCTAAGCTCTAAACTTCTCACTAATATAAGTCTTCGAACATTAGATTTTCTGAGATTAAGTGGCTAAGTTTGTCAATAGGTACACTAACGGATATTTTTCGTTTTTAGTATTTCGCCAAAAAGCAAAACATTATATTAATAGTGTTGGTCCAACTTTCAAGTCCAGACTCCTTGGCGCAATTGGTAGCGCGTTCGCCTCCAGAGCGAAAGGTTAAGTGTTCGAGTCACTTAGGGGTCATTTTTTGATTGGCTGATCAACATTTTTAATGTCCGCTCACGAGCCGGCGACAAGTGCTCTTTTGCATCTAGAGTTCGAAACTAAGGCAAACTTCCTTAATCATGTCTACCTGTTCGCACTTTTCTGTGCCCCTTATTTTATCTTTACAACTATTAGACACCAGGAAATTGGTAACATCAGAAGTCAAGAAAGTTGGAATGCCGTGGTATACGTACAATCAAATGTTAGCAAAGCAATGCAATTTGCTTTATGGATTTTGATTTTCTTGAGATATAGATGTTATGAGCATGAAATTATATGTTTAGGTAGTGAGTGATACTACATGAGTTAATGAAATTGGGAACGTCTGTTAGCATTATGTATAGCATTTTATTCAGCTGAATATGAATGATCTTTTTGTTGATTTGGTTCGAGTTGCGCAATTGGATGGTTTGCGACATGCAGTGGGCCCTTTACGCTTAGTTATTCTTGCATATTGAGGAGACGCATAATAATCGTAATAATAGCAATATTATCTGTGAAATTGCAGAAATACTACAACGAGGTGCTTGAAAGTTGCTTGACAATTGGGTAATGAATCAAGGATTAACGCAGAAGTCTTTGAATATAGGAATGAAGGCAAGTTCCTAATCTAAGCGCTGTACAAGATGGCGTTAATTTGAACCAAAGCAAAATGAAGTATGAAAGAAATGAAAACGGTGAAATGGACTAAAGGAAGATGAATGGAGTCTTTCATACCGGTGTGCTAATTTGAAAACCATACTCGTAAACTGTTTTGCACATTAAGTAGACAATCATTTTGACCTCCAATATGATAGGAGTAGCATCAAGTATAACATTCGAAAAGACACCATTCAATGGCAAAGAAATGATCTTTATAAATGGTTACATATGCTAGTAAAAGCTGGTCTCATCCACATTAAGAAAAATTGCAACGTATAATTTATGGGCACAGGCAAAATTCATCGATCTCGCTGCGATTGGTCTGTCGGGACAACAACAGTCCCACCCAAACCAAAAGGCACTGTCTCATATTTTTTTTTTCTACGTTACTGGTTACTATACTCTCGCTCGAATTGTAATGCTGCGCTTAGGCAAACAAGGTTCGACCAAATTGGGTTCAGGAATCCTCGGCTCAACTGTAGCTTTTCGAGCTCATGCAAGAAAATTCCCCCATGCACCACAGTTTCAGCCACTGTCATTACGACAATACAGCCAACAACAGCAGCAGCAGCGCTCATATCGAGGTAAATGTTTAAAAGTCGAGCGCAATGACATTTTGCGCTGTTGGTATAATGCTGACCCATCTTGGCACTTGCATTACAGAAAAATTATTCTCTGCTTGGAAAGACACCAAGGTCAAGTGGACGCCTATCCCTGTTGGACTTGGTATCGGCTTTCTATGCTTCTTACAGTATCGACGAGTGGTAAAGCGAGAGAGAGAGCGACTTGACGGTGATGAGGTTGTTCGTCGAAAATACGTAGCCAGTGGACCATGGCAGGTTCATGTTGCAGCGGCCCTTCCATTGAGAAGCATGTCTCGACTCTGGGGAGCTTTCAATTCGATCAATATTCCTGAGTTCCTTAGACCTGCTGGATTCAAGTTATATAGTTGGATTTTCGGTTGCAACCTAGATGAAATGAAGGTCAAGGATTTGAAGGCCTATCCCAACTTGTCTGCATTTTTCTATCGAGAACTGGAAGAAGGAGCTCGACCTGTTGCCGATGCCCCTCTGGTAAGTCATTTATACAAACTCAAAACATCGCAGTGGCAAAGTTCTCACTTTATATATGTCAGGTTTCGCCATCAGACGGAAAAGTTTTACATTTCGGTGTCGTAGAGGAGCGCAACATTGAACAGATTAAGGGCGTCACATACTCTTTGGACGCTTTGTTGGGCATGGATAACAACTCTACCAGGGCCATTGAAAATGTTCGATTCGACCCTAACACTGCTGCCGTCGAAGAGGAAGAGTTTGCCAACGTCAATGGAATCAACTACTCTCTAGACGACATGTTGGGATCCAGCGATAATGCAGTTAAGACTGTAAGTTCAGTTGGACCAGATGGACTTGCTCGAGAAGCCAAGGATGAACGATCCAATATGGAATCTGAAGAGCTTGTCCGACTTGCCGATATCGAACCTAGCGGTGATTTGAGCCACAGGACCAAACCTGGCAACTCATTGTTTTTCGCCGTCATTTATCTTGCCCCTGGAGATTACCATAGATTCCACTCTCCCGCTGATTGGGTTGTTCAGATGCGTAGACATTTTGCAGGTAAGACCTAGTACTATGGTTAAGGAAGACTTTTGCCTTTATTCATGCACTGACCTTTTTGTTCAATCACAGGCGAACTCTTCTCTGTTTCGCCCTACTTTGTGAAGCTTTTAGAAAACCTCTTTGTTCTTAACGAGCGTGTTGTATTGATGGGCAAGTGGCGACATGGTTTCTTCTCCATGATTCCTGTTGGCGCCACCAATGTTGGATCCATCAAGATTAATTTTGATGAGGCTTTGAGGACCAATCGTAAGGAGGATCTTGCCACTGGCACTTATACCGAAGTCTCCTACAAGTCAGCCAGCAAGCGACTGGGTGGCAAGCCCGTATGTCGAGGCGAAGAAGTTGGCGGATTTTACTTGGGATCTACCGTTGTTCTTGTTTTCGAAGCACCATCCAACTTCAAGTTCACTCTTGAGCAAGGACAGAAAGTGAAGATGGGTCAAGCTATTGGCACATTTGAGAAGGAGGGTTCTGACAGTGATTCTATAGAAAAGGAATAATTTAGGTTGCATTCTGTGGTAATGACATGAATGAAATAAAATAACATATGTATAATGCTATTGTCAGGGTCTTCAACCTCTGACCAACTTAATTTGGAGAATGGAAACATGCGGTAGTTTTATTTTAAGAGTTTAGAGGTTGGCGAGGATGTAGGGTGGGTGATAAGGCGAAATCCACGCATATACCCTGGATTATGATGAATTATCGGGAGGACAAATAGAAACTAGTTTACATTGTAAAGATGACAGATTGACAAGCACAAGACAACCAGTCTCTGAAAACGAAGGCACGGTAATGACTCGGACGCGTTGTCCTTTAGATCCTACAAGCTCACTGGTGTCGAAGCTGGGTTGATTCCCTATGAAATAGACATCGGGGCATTGTTCAACGATGAAAGGGTCTCGATCTTGGAATGGATAGCACCCTGGAGTAATCAATTCATACATAAGTCAACATCAACAGGGAAATTCATATGCACATGCAATACTCACATAGCGTATCTGGAGCGGATGGTGCAATGTGTCGCCAGGACATTGTGAATTCAGCCAGTTGGATTCGTTCGCAACCTTCGGTATACCTATCGAGATCATCAATCGTTTGTCCTGACGTTCCCAAGAAACTGTTGTTTTCCAGGTGGTTAGACAATTTGTATATACGTCGGGTAAACTGGGCCATCAACATACCTAACACCATCTATTTCACACCAGTGTGGGTTGGTGACGGGCTTGAGAGACGATAGCTTGTGAGAAGACATGAAAAGCGAGTGATGCAAGGGTTGCTGTGGAAGGTGAGCGTTTGAGGGGTCGTTTTTGCCAGGCATTATATCTACGTTGACACTTGAACATAATTGCTGAAGGAACTTGTCCAATGCCATGACAGGAGAAGCATCATAGATAGTTGAATCGTAGCCGTATTTTTTCTACAAAAGAGGTTGAGGCGTAGATGGTTATAAGTTGGATCCTCAAAATCGCAAGACTCTATAATATGACCCCATGTAACATACCGGTTTTTTGTCATCTACAATGACTTTCCTTTCTGTGACCGAATTTCCAGCTAGTACTACTTTAACAATTGATTGCGAGGCCTGCGAGTCCTGTGGTAAAGACGTCAGCAGCGTAACATGTGTATCTACATATAGGCAGCCACATACCTGACTATCTCCTAATTCTCCAGTAAGGTATTCTAATAGCATCTCAAGTCGCATACTGCTGTCTCCACCTGCTCCGAAATTCAACCCCGAGAGCAACGCAACATACTTGTTGTCAGGAGTGTCTGAAGTAGAAAAAGTCAATATCCTGACGTGAGATGAGCGTGTATAGGCTGCCACGTTATCTCTTACCAATCTCCATTCTAGGTGTAGGGTTTGGATCGGGTAAACCGGGAGTGCAAATATCTATTACTTCGAACTCTCCATATGCGTTTTCCTTGCCCAACGCCGCAATGATGGTGCCTATGAAATATGTAGCAGGACGTTTCAGCAAAAGATGAGACTCACGACTGACATGAAAGCTTTGGGTCATCGACCAAGGCTCCATCTTCACGACCGACTTACCTGTGACTAGATTTTCAGATTGCAATCTGGAGCCGCTCAATACAACTCTTCCGGATTCATCTTCCATGGCCACCGTGGCGTCCGCGCTAACATATTTTGGTGGTGGTGGTTGGGAGACAATGTAATTCTGCAGGAGACGAATTCAGTCATCTTGGAATTACAGGCTTCTCCTTTAGAGTCTACCGCCGACGCTCACCTCTTTTGTGATGTCTTCAAGAATATTAGGCTTGAGAGGCATATCCATATAGACGGTTCCAATGATATAGCATACTTTTCCAGCCTCCACGTCCAACACCTTTGAAACATACTCGGTTTTCTCTACAAAAAGCATGATTGGTTAACCTTCGTTCCACGCAGGTAGAGCATGAGGTGGCCCAGACGTACCTGGTAAACCTGACCATCGCTCTCGGGCAGCTTCAAGGGTTGCGGCTCTCAATTTTGTAAGTCGAATGAAATAAATATTGGCATACTGCTGGCGAAAAGTCTGTTCCTTGAGAATGTACGGGTTCTCGGCATTAGACACTTCAGTGTACTCGGCTGTCTTTCTCAAGATCTCGTCTGGCACCGTAAAGTCTTGATCGGAAGGAGTGGAGAGCAATGGTTCTTTCCTGTGCAATGCATCAGACAACAGTAATTGAGACTGCTATATGAGAATATAGGATCAC